GGGAATTATTTCTATCCCTCGTGGTTTAGCAACCCACACCGCAGCCACATTAGAGGCTGAAGTAGCGCCCTCCGTGCTGTCAGGGGAGTCTGGTTTAGTTTTAATCATTTCTGTCAGTGACGGATAAATAGAAGGCACTGTAGGAGAAGCACTTACAGAGCATGAAGCAGCAGGCGGAAGCCCCGTATAAGGGGGTGGTGATATCATAGTTGTCTTAGCAGCTGCGAGAGAGCCCCTCTTATCTGCCTTACGGGCAGTATTGCTTCTGCTTTTGGGTTTGGGGACAGATTTCAAAACGGTTTTAGGTGTAAAAATGCCCTTTTTATCTCTCCATATAGAGCTCATTGTATACCATGTGTCATATCCATTCATCATATACTGATCATTCCATTCTGGATCCCCATATCAATTTGTAAGCTAACTGAAGGAAACCTGGTTCAAATGTTCCTTCCCTAGGAAAGTCTCTCCATTGAGATTGTCCCTCTGTCCACCCAGCTAAATTGGACAGCCAGGGTTCAGTGTAAAATCCCCACCCACATCTATCCATCCATTGCTTTGGACTCTCACTGGGTTCTGGTTTTGGATATCCTTGTCCCATATTGCTGAAGCTGGTGCGTAATACTTATTTACTAAAATTTATTAAATCCCCTGATTTGTGGAACCCAAATTTAATCGGGTACAACAACACAAATCCTTCTGTGCAATTTACTGTTTGAAGTAAACTTGACAGGCTAGCAAGTGTCAAATTAATAAATTTTCCTGATTTGTGGAACCCAAATTTAATTGAGTACGACGACACAAATCCTTCTGTGCAATTTACTGTTGAAAGTAAACTTGACAGGATATTCTGTGCTCTAGAGCACAGACCTCTCTTGCTTGCGCAACCCAATTTTTAATTAAAATCTTACGATTTCCTGAGATACACCGGAGCAGGCAGTGTGAATAAAAATTCTCTTACCTGATCAGATGTATCCCGGACGAGCCCCCAGATCTGTAAGATTTCCCCTATATTAGGCACCAGATTCAGCAAAGTTCAGCAGGTCGACCCGGAGACATGAGAAGAGACCAAACTGTAGTTAGAATGGTTTATTCTGCAAGCCTGACAACACAGGATGGACAGGGATATTTATACACAGGGGCTGATAGCAGAAAGGCACTCCAAATATGGGCTAGTCATACAGCATTTTGTCTTAACATGAATCAGCATATTTCATATCTGAGCATAGTGGAATTTTCCAGCGTGGGTGAAGCTGCGAAATGAAACCAGACCATGGTCTCATATTTTTAACACCTGCAAGACTGAAACCAGACGTTGACCTTCAGACCTCCGATACACACACACACACAAAACCACAGACACTTCTGCTTCTCATGCAAGCACACTAAAAAGAGGACAAAATGTTCTCTCACTCTCTGATAAATTTTTTGTTATACTTATTCCTAAATATTTTACCGTCTTTTTAACAGGTATATTACATAAACTTTTTACTTCAGAATTATAAAGTGATATAATTTCACATTTTGTCACATTTAAGGTTAATCCAGATGCAATAGAGAAATCATTTACTAATTGCAAAGCTGCAGGTAACTGATCTTTATCTTTTAGAAAAAGAACGGTATCATCAGCAAGTTGAGATATCCTTATTTCTTTATTAAATATGGTAATACCTTGAATTGCTGATGATTTTAAAACATAAATGGACAGGAACTCTACAACAAGAAGAAATAAAAAAGGAGCAATAGGACATCCTTGACGGACTCCTCTACATATGGGGAACCTTTTAGAAGTATTTGGGTATAAATTTATAGAGCTATTGATATCTCTATGAAACAATTCCATAATAGAAATAAACCTGTCCCCAAAACCGAAATATTTTAATGCCATAAACATAAATTGGTGCTCAATAGTGTCGAAAGCTTTATGAAAATCCAGAAAAAGTAGTAATGCTTCAGACTCAATCAAATTAGAATAATCTAACAAATCCAGAATCAATCTAATATTCCAACTTATGTGTCGCCCAGCCATGAAACCAGTTTGATACTCGCTAATAATTTCATTTAGACCTTCCTTTAAGCGTTTTGCATAAATCAAAGATAATAATTTATAATCTACATTAAGTAGTGTTATTGGGCGCCAGTTGTCTAAAATCATAAGGTCTTTATTAGGTTTAGGAAGCAAGGTTATTAATCCTTGTTTCAAAGAGGTTGGTAACTCCTTTAGCTCAATAGATTCCTTATACATTTCAAATAAAGGATTTTCAATTATATTCCAAAAATGCAGATAGAACTCCACTGAAAGACCATCTGAGCCTGGAGACTTATTTTGTTTCATTGAACGTAATGCTATTTCCATCTCAAGCTTACTCAGATTTTCTTCGCAAGTATCTTTAAATTGAGGTGAAATAGGAGAGACAGAAGATTTAACAGATTCAAAAAAATTATAACATTTATCCTTTTGAAATACAGATTTATATAATTGGGAATAAAAGGACTCTACATATGTAGAAATTAACTTAGGATTTGAAGTAATAACATCATCAATTTTAAGTGAGGAAATCATTTGCCTTTTATAATTCCGCTTTTCTAGTGAAAAAAAGTAACTTGTATTTTTTTCTCCTTTTTCTAACCATTTGGCTCTTGAACGAATAAAAGCACCTTTTGCAGTATCAACGTAAATTTGGTCAATTTCAGATTTTATAGTTTCTAATCTAACTTTTTCATCCTCTGTTAGATTATCTTTTTTTAAATAAATATTTAACTCGTTCATCAATGACCGTTCCTTATTCAAGTTATTGTTTTTAACTTGTTTACTAAAATATATGGCTGACTGTCTAACTTTAAACTTAAATAATTCCCATTTGCTAGAATGTGACATTTGATTATTGACAAAAATGTGTTGTGCGATACCTTTAACCTGCATATTAAAATTTTCATTATTCAGCAAACTATTATTTAACTTCCAATATCCCCGCAGACTTTTATTATTAATTTTAGAGGCAGAGAGAGACAGAACAATCATTTTATGATCTGTAAGGGGAGCATAAGTATATGAAATTTCTGTTACATATTGAATACATTCAGGATTGATCAACCATAAATCAATCCGTGATTGTAACGATCTAGAGGAATTGCTCCAGGAGTAACATTTATCACTAAAATTTAAAAATCTCCAAATATCCACAACAGACAGATAAGAGGACAAGAAATTTGTAAGTTTAAATTTTGAAGAGGATGAAGCATGAGGGGGAAAGCGATCTATGAAGTCATCTGGGGCATCATTAAAATCGCCTCCAATTAACAAAAAAGCGTCTTTATATTTTCTCTGTAAAACTAAAATAGCGTTAGATAACTCTGTGGACATATTTTTGGCTTGGACTGATGAATTATAACCATAAACATTTACTAAGATAAAAACTGAATTATCCAACTTAACAGTTATCAGTATCCATCTCCCTTCTGGTGAATTAACCGATTCTAACACATCACCTTTGAACTTATTTAACAGAACAGCGACACCTGCTGAATGATGTGAAGCATGACAACAGAAAATTTGATCACCCCACTGAGATCGCCACCACCTAACATCATTTTCACATGAATGTGTCTCTTGTAAGAAAATTATATTCGCGTTAGTATGTCTAACAAAAATAAAAATAGATTTTCTTTTAATGCTGTCTCGTAAACCCCTAACATTAAGTGAAACAATTTTAAAATTACTGAAAATAAAATCAGACATAAAACAAAAATTTGGATGTCAGAATTAGTATAAATGTATAAAGAACCCTGAAACAAATAAATTCACAAAGCAGCCGGTGTTGAACAGTTATTAACCTGGAACAGTCACATTACCCGGACGATCAGACTGAACGAATAAGTTAACTTTTGACACTGACAAGAGCCAGCGACCAAATAGTAGTTTTCTGTCAGTGTTCACTTTTCAGCTTCAAACTCCTCAACGGACAGTTTTTTGCCATCAATAAAAGCATCTGCACCACGAAAGTGAGCTCTCTTGCCCTGTTCTCTTGCCTCTTTTACTTTTGGCCATAGCAACCTCCTCTGTTGTCTTTCTGCAAACGTCAAGTCCTCCATCAGACGAACACCTCTTTCCTTAAGAGCGGGATGATCCCTAGCCGCTTTCCAGACTTTCTCCCTGTACACTCGAAGCGCAAACTGAATTATGACCGGACGAGGGCGATTTCCACCTGCTCCGGGACGACCAATTCTGTGAATGGTGTCAACATAAAAACGGATGTCATCTGCTTCGTCTGGAGTGAGAACTTTAAGGATTTCCAGCACTTTGCTTCTGATATTTTCTCCATCGGTTTCTTTGAGATTGATGATCCTTAAATTCCACCTTCTGCTGTAGATCTCGGCTTGATCGCATTTGCTTTGAACCACTTGAACCACCTGCTGAATTTGCGTGACCTTATTTTCATTTGCCTTAACTCGTGTGGACATCGATTTAAACTCCTCTCCGACAAAATCAACAGCCTTTGAAAGATTAGCAATCGTAATCGAATTCTGGGCAAGTTGTTGTTCCATCGACGCAAATCGATCACTGAGGGAATTAACAGCACGCAGTATGTCAACATTAGACACTTTAGGATCATCTTCATCCTGACAAAGTTTTTTTGAGAGAGGACTGCTTGATGGTGTATTTGACAACGAATCGTGGTCTCCAGAAGGTTCGAAAAGCGAAGAGAACAACTTTCGGTCTTTACTCTTTGGCATTTTTGCAGACGGCACGTGCACTGAACTCTTGAATCTGCGTATAGTTCAGTCTATAACTGGGGTTTAGACATCGAAATTAGCTGAGTTACTACTTATAAAAGTCCCCACCTTGATTTCAGTGATACATATTCGTCCAAACAATGTAAACTCCTCCAGATGGCTCAGAGCTCAAACCAGCACAACCGTCTAGGTCGCCATCTTGCGCCAACCCTACCGGTGCATTTTTATTTATTGTACTTTGCAGCAGTGACGTAAAATGCATTGCGCTCAGTTACGGCAGCTGAGAGGTCGTGAGTGAACTGTGGGCCTTTGGAAGGTTAAAGTGAACCGGACGGTCAGTGTTTGTATTTACAATTTTGGAGCTTTGTATCATACATGTGCCATCCATAAAATTGCTAGCACTAATGTGAATCCGATGCTGTCCGTAAATGTCATTAGAATAAACGCATTCTGCTGTTTAGTTATCAGACCTCCCGTTAGGCTATGATGCTAACAGTAGCTAAACTACGATTATCAATACATTTCACAACGCTGCAAATGTTAAATAGCATCACGTTAGCTGTTTCTAATTGTTAATAATTACTTGATTCAATCGATGACTAGTTTAACGCTTGATTATGAATATGTATCCAGATTCAGGTCAGGTGTTGTATTGTGTTGTAGCTAAATAAGTTATATTAGATTAATGCATGCACAGAATTCCGCTGTTATTTAAGTACCGTTGAAGTCAGAATTATTAGCCCATACCCCCCTATATCCCAACCCCCCCCCCCCTTCTGTTTAACAGAGAGAATTTTTTTTCAGCACATTTTTAAACAATAGTTTTAATAACTCATCTCTAATAACTGATTTATTTTATCTTTGTCATGATGACAGTACATAATATTTGATTAGATATTTTTCAAGACACTTCTATACAGCTTAAAGTGACATTTAAAGGCTTAACTAGGGTAATTAAGTTAACTAGGCAGGTTAGGGTAATTAGGCAAGTTATTGTATAACGACGGTTTGTTCTGTGGACTATCGAAAAAAAATTAGCTTAAAGGGGTTCATAATGTTGTCCCTAAAATGGTTTTTAATAAATTAAAAACTGGTTTCATTCTATCTGAAATAAAACAATTAAAACTTTCTCCATAAGAAAAAAATATTATCAGACATACTGTAAAAATTTCCTTGCTCTGTTAAACATCATTTGGTAAATATTTAAAAAAGAGAAAACCATTCGAAGGGGTGCTAATAATTCTTACTTCAACTACATATATATATATATATATATATATATATATATATATATATATATATATATATATATATATATATATAATGTTAATAGCTATTTCTTTGTCACATATTTTAAATAATGTGGCAAAATTATGTTCTCAAATCTAGAATTTAAACATTTCAAAAATTATAATAAATGTAAAAATCTAAAATGCAAAACTCAAGATTTTATGCAAACGAAAGAGCAGTATGGAAAATGTGCTGGTATTTTATTGCAATCCTAAATTATTTTTGTAAAAATTACTTGCTAAACTCATGACAACTCTGACAACTTTTTTTTGTTGTTCTTTTTGTTCTTTTCTTTTTCTTAATTTTGTACCCATGTAATTGTCTGCTTCCAAAAAATTAAAAACAGACGTTTTCTTTTAGCCTCATAGTTTGATGTTGCCGCCATGTTGCTGTACTGGTTGTTACCAGGTTCCGAAAAAAAAAAGTGCTTATCGTTACTGACCGATAGGGGCCAGTGACAGTCCATTCTACTGTCCCGAGCATCTTTCACGTTGGCCCCGGGTCACTGTGCAGTCCTTATTGTTGATCCCTGATATACATAACAAACAGTGCATGTTTTTTCACAATCACATTTGTTATTATACGACAAGAAGCTTGTGCTGCACTATTATAAATATCCTCTGGATTATATGTTTATAGAATAAAGATAATGATGTTATAATTTGTTGCACAAAACTGAGTTTACATTCGTAAGACCTAAATGTATCACCATGAGCCACAGGTTTTACATTCATTTTTAAGTGTTTTAATTTATTTTTTCAGTTTTGATTTATTTTTTTTCATTCTAAAGTTTTCAGTAACCATAAACTTGCATTTATAAGATCCGCCAATAAACGTGATTCAGCTAAAAATGAAAAGGTATTAATTTAATTAATCTACTAATCAAGAACAAGTGGCATCTACTTCTTGGGTAGCTTGAGTATGAGTAAATTAAAAGTATTATTATTATTTTGAGTGGAAAAAAAAGCTTGTCTGCACTATTGGATTTCACATAAAGCATCTCTGCTGGCTTCCTAGAATCATGCCGTTCATTGACCTCCAGTCAAAGTTGGGCATCAATGTGGACAAGTGGCTGCTGGCTCAGAGCGGCGAGCAGCCTCGCAAGCGGGCGGCCTTCTGCCATGCCTTTGAGAAGGAGTGGATCGAGTGTTCCCATGCCATCGGCAAGACCCGGGCCAGTAAGGAGTGCAACATTGAGTGGGAAGACTTCTACGAGTGCATGCACCGCTTTAAGACTGTAAGTACAATCAGAAAGAAGTCATGTATTTAAAGGGAGAGTTCACCCAAAACATGTCATCATTTACTCACCCTTTACTTGTTCCAAAGCTGTTTAACTTAATTCATTTCAACACAAAGGAAGATATTTTGAAGAAAGCTGGAAACCTGTAACCATTGACTTCTATATTAATGTGGATGTCAATAGTGTTCAGCTTTCTTCAAAATATCTTTCTTTGTGTTCAAATGAATAAAGAAATTCCACACATAGACTTTACTTGAGCAGGCTGCCCAGGCAAATTATTTATGGCCACCAAAGTATATTTAGTGACACATTTTTTTCTACTATTATTTTCATCCTTACACTTTTTTTTGTATCCGCCCAATATAATTAAACGTCCGCGATCTACAAAGTAGTGGAAAATCATCTCTCACTTACCCGTTTCGTACTGCTCATTCTGTGTATGCAAGAACTGTCTAAACTCCCACAGACAGTCTCACATGCACTGCAGACCCACAGAGACGAGGCTTTTTGCATCCGGTGTGGGATTTCTAAATCTACTAAAATGTCCGGTATTTGGCCTTCGCTTTCACTGTATGCGAACAGCCTCGAGAGAAACCTTAAATAATGAATTCTTTACTCTTAACGACTCAGAAAAGCTTTACAGATGACGGAACTATATCTTAATTGGCTGCAAAATATTTCTACAGTTTTTGGTTCAGTGGTGCAACCAAAAATATTTAGGAGTGCATAAATTGTAACTTAGTCTTCTTTTAAGTCACAACTAGGCTACATTTTAACTTGCGCACTGCTGGTGCAACCGGCCAATGAACTTGAATACAGGAGAGAGAGAAGCAGATTTTACCTGTCGGTGTGTGCACATGGCTCCTGAATAGCATAAAAGTGAAAGAAAAATAGTGGATTTAGTTTTTTTTTTTTTTCAACAGTTTTTTTACTTTAACCCATTGAAAATAAACAGTTTATAACTGTTATAGATTTCTTAAATTAAAATATTGTTAAAAATCTAATTGTTTTGTTTGTCACATATAGATTTATATAGGGTAAAAGGTGTGTTTCAATCCGACTACCACTGTCCGCAAGTATATTAGATTAGATTAGATAAGATTAGAATCAACTTTATTGTCATAACACATATACTGTTCAAGGCAACAAAATGCAGTTTAGGTCAAACCAGGAGTGCAACAGCAGCAAATGCAGGATATAGGTATAATATATAAAGCGCAATTATAGAAAAACTATTGGTAAAATTTACAGATGGATGTACTATGAATATTGTATGCAGGTTGTATCAACTATGAACAGAGATTTATTATATGTATTATATATGTACAGGTTGCTATTAATAATCAGAAGTGTTGTATGAAGATAGATATGAGTGTAATTATAAATGTATATGTGCAGTGGATATGTACAATTCAAAGTGAAATGAATATGTGCTATTTTAATAGTGTAAATATTAGAATTGTACATATTTCACTTCGTTGTACATATTTCAAACCTGTGGAAAGCACTGATAATTCGTCAAGGTTTAAAAACACATGAGGATGAAGATGTAGACATGTTGGAGAATTTTATTCAGAGTACCTAAATGGCCGACTGAGAATAGACCCATGTTTTACAACGATTGGAAATTTGTGGTCTTATTTTATGGTATGTTTATATTTGCATTTATTTTTGCATACAGTATGTTTAATTACTTATTGCTGTATGTTGTTCTGAAAGATGTTTTTCTATTTTTAAGAAAGCCAATAAATAAAACGCACAAGGATGAGGTCATTTTTATTTTTGGGTGAACTATCCCAATAAGTTTTATTTGCATTATTAAAATTACGATCACTCCATACAGATGAAGCGCTTGAAAGAGATCAGCACGCAGAAAGAAAAGATGATTAAAGAGGGAACTTACACACCTCCTCCACACCACACAGGCAAAGGGGAGCCGCTGTCCTGAACCCAGACGCCACAGACCCAACATACAGTCACCCTCAACACTGTCATGCTGTTGTACAGTTGATTCCTCACTCATGTATTATAATTCTCTTGCTGTATCAACATTGTTTAATATACAATAAATCAATTGATTCCATGTCATTGTTGTTGTATGCTTGCATGCATTATTTTTCAATGGAAATATCTAATACAGTCTTTGATATTTTGCAATCAAAAGAAGGAAGTGAAATGGTCAACTGTTTGGTTACTAATACTCTTAAACCTATTTGGGAGTGTTTTATTTAATTGCTGCAGCCTGGAAACCTCCAAGTGGGAGTGATGACACCGCATGTAGGCTGTGTTTAGGATTGGTGAAATTGTAGTAGACGTTAATAAAACAACAGGTTACTGTGAGGTTGGCTTTAGGGTTGAGGTAGGTGTGGATTTTTATAAAACACAACCTCACAGTAACCTGTTGGCTTTAGGGTTGTGATAAGTGTAAGCATTCATAAAACACACTAAGTTGTCATGTACAACACATTACATTAATGAAAACTCCAGGAAGTGTGTCTGACCATGCCATTTGACCTCTGTTTATATGCTTCTCCATAACGCCATACATTTTGAGAAAAACTGACATTTCAGCAAATATATATTTTTGAAGTTCCCTGTTTTGTGGACTTGAAGAAGGCATTCGACCGTGTCCCTTGTGGCATTCTGTGGAGGGTGCTCTGGGAGTATGGGGTCAGAGGTGCTTTGTTAAGGGCTGTCTCGTCTCTTCATGAACAGAATAGGAGTCAGGTTTACATTGCCAGGCATTAAGTCAGACTTGTTTGCATGTTGGACTCCAGTAGGGCCACCCCTTGTCACCAATTCTGTTAATTTTTATGGACAGAATTTTAGGTGCAGCCTTGGGCTGGACAGGGTCTGATTCGGGGACCACAGGATTTCATCTCTGTTATTCGCAGATGATGTTGTTCTGTTGGCTTCTTTAAAAATGGACCTTGAGCATGCACTGGGGCGGTTTGCTGCTAAGTGTGACGCGGCTGGGATGAAAGTCAGCACCTCCAAGTCTGAGGCCATAGTGCTCCACCGAAAAAAAAGAGGATTGCCACCTCTAGGTTGGAGGAAAGTCCTTACCCCAGGTGGAGGAGTTCAAGTATCAGGGGGTTTTGTTCACAAGTGAGGAAAGGATGGAGCGTGAGATTGACAGGTGGATTGGTGCAGCAGTAATGTGATAAAGAAGGAGCTCAGCTGAAAAGCAAAGCGTTCGATTTACCGGTCAATCTATGTTCCTACTCTCACCTATGACCCAAAGCTCATGACCGAAAGGACAAGATCTCGGATACAAGCGGCCAAAATGAATTTCCTTCGGAGGGTGGCTGGGCGCACACCCTTATGGATAGGGTGAGGAGCTCTGACACCCGGGAGGAGCTCAGACTACAGTCACTGCTCCTCCTCATCGAGGGAAGTCAGCTGAGGTGGCTCGGGCATCTGTTTCCTGCAAAGTTCTGCCATGACTGAAAGATGTTAGACATTTTTTATTAAACAGTATTTTTTTTTTCTCTTGTGATATTCAATTGAATGATTTCAGGAAATTAATTATTTAAATTTTATACCTCTTTGCAAAAAAGTTACTGGTTATATGTATTTGTGATTAATTGGTGTATGCTTTAAGTAAAATGTAATGTTTAATGTTGATTTTGTTGTTGTTGATAAAGTCATTGAAAATGTAAAATCAGAATATTCTCGTTTAGAGCATTGCTGAATATATTTTTATTGTGTCAATGTAAAAAATTGCATGTTCAAAGACCTTAACTATTAGATAAATAATTGACATATTTTACAAATATTTATTTACATATTTTGTAATGTATTGATGGAAAACATTTCTATTATATTCATCTTATGATATTTAGTTTAAGGGTTTCAGAAATTCAAAATAGTACTTTTATACCGCTCTGGAATTTTTTTTTTTTTTGTTATTGGTCAAAGTTATTGGTTATTAAATTTAAAAAAAAAATTTAATTCGTTTTTTTTTTTTTTTTTTTTTTAATGGTCAAACTGGGATTTTTTTTGTATCTTCATTGACAATTTAAAATAGTTTAAAATAGGTTGCAGAGCAAGTTAAGAGAATTATTTGCAGAATAATGTATAATAATGCCATTATTTTATTTAATGTGTATTTGCATATTCAAAGACCTTAAATATTAGATTAAACTGTCAATATTTAGCATTTCTAAATTTTAAGGATGGAAAACATTTTATACAAGAATCAAATATATATTTCAAATATATAAGAAAATAAACATATATTGGTTAGTATTATTGTACTAAAATTATGTTTATTTTGTTAATTATTTAGAACCAACAAAACCTTTTTCTCATATATATATATATATATATATATATATATATATATATATATATATATATATATATATATATATATATATATATATATATATATATATATACATACATACATACACATATATACATATACACACACACACATACATAAACGTAAGTACTTTTAAGGCATCACTTACGTGCCTGTTTAAAGACTTTAAATGCATTTTTATTTGAGTCTCATTTCATTCTTCAAACAGTGGGAGACCATATGATTATCTGTAATTTTTTCATAACAAATCAGAGCCTGAATTTAGCCCGTCTTTTAGTGGTTGGTTAAGCTTCCCAAGGGACCGCTTCCAGCTGAAGGCGTAATATGAGTACATCCATCCACATTTGACATCCCAATTACATTACTAAGCCAGTCGCCCTGACAAGATTTGTTATTTAGTATGTCGGTCAGTGGGTGGCAGCAACAAACCACTCTTTCTGAGCTTCAATTAACTTCCATTGTTGATTAAAAACTAAGTCTACAGCACAGCAGGGAAAATACTTTTACAGGGAGACGAAACCTAAAAAACAATTGGATAAGCATGATTCATACACCACTTGAATAATTATGAGTATATGGCTCATAAAATGCTAGATATTTCTGAGATTCTTAGAAAAGCTTGATTTTAGCAAAGATCAAGTGCAAAGTCGAGTATGTGGATGGAATGAAGTCACGCCAACCATCACAAGGGTTCAATTAAGCTTATTTAAGGTTCAAGTCTGGCTATAAAGAGTTAGACGTGACAGTAAGATCTAGTACATTTTAGACATTGTTTGTTTTCATGTGATAATCAGTCGAAATTGGGCAAAGAATGTTCACAGGATGTGCGCTGGTATTTTTAGCAGGGCTGCTCTCCTATGATGGGTTTTGTTTGATCAGTAAAGCAGCAGCAGTTAATCCTTCACTGTCACAGTCAATTCAGCTCACTGAGGACTGAATGATTTTTTCACTGCAAATTCATTTCCGATTATACTTTTATTATTTATTTTACTATTAATCGGACCTTGCAAAAATAGGTGCTTAGAAATTAATGTGTTATATCAGAGAAATCTGTAAATGTTAGTTACAGTGCAGAAATATGTGCACTTATTTTGAAAATTAATACCTTTAAATTTTTTGGTGAATCTAAGTGTAATATTTTGGTGCACACTTTCTGACAAAAGTCTTGTTGTCGATCAAAGTTGTAAGAGCAACAAATAATATCTTGATTTCTAGTTGATCATTTGTAAAAGGGGCAGAAGGTAGATTTTTCAGATGAATCATCTGTCAAACTGCTTCCCAATCATCACAAATACAGCAGAAGACCTGTTGGGACCTGCATGGACCCAAGATTCTCATAGATCCCAGTCAAGTTTGGAGAAGGAAAAATCATGGTTTGGGGTTACAATCAGTATAGGGGTGCGTGAGAGATCTGCAAAGTAGATGGCAACATTAACAGCCTGAGGTATCAAGACATTTGTGCTGCCCATTACATTACAAATCACAGGAGAGGGCAAATTCCTCAGCAGGATAGCACTCCATCTCATACTTCAGCCTCCACATTAAAGATCCTGAAAACAAAGTAGGTCAAGGTGCTCCAGGATTGGCCAGCCCAGTCACCAGACATGGACATTATTGAGAATGTCTGGGGTAAGAGGAAAGAGGAGGCATTGAAGATGAATCTAAAGAATCTTGATGAACTCTGGGAGTCCTGCAAGAACGCTTTCTTTACCGTTCCAGGTGACTTTATTAATAAGTTATTTGAGTCATTGCAGAGATATATGGATGCAGTCCTCCAAGCTCATGGGAGTCACACAATATTAATTCTTTTTCCACAGCACAATGACTTTATATTCTATACTGTACATTATTTCTGTTAAGTGACAAGACTTTTTTCAGAGCAAAGTCAGACATACTGCCCTAATTCATTCATTCATTTTCTTTTCGCCTTAGTCCCTTTATAAATCTGGGTTCACACTTGTACACTAAGGATAATTTAGCCTACCCAATTACCTGTACCGCATTTCTTTGAATTGTAGGGGAAACCGGAGCACCCGGAGGAAACCCATGCGAATGCGGGGAGATCATGCAAACTCCACACAGAAACGTCAACTGACCCAGCCGAGGCTCGAACCATGCAGCGACCTTGCTGTGAGGCGACAGCACTTCTGCGCCACCACGTCGCTACATTCCTAATGGAATAATTAAAAATTAAGGATTGATTAGGTAAGCGTAATCTAGAGGCCTTTGCCTTTCATATAAGCCACTTCTGATTCCAAATGATCAACTAGAAGTTAAGTTATTCTTTGTTGTTCCTAAAACTTAGATAGGCGACAAGACTTTTGTCAGGTAGTGCACGTGTAAAAATATAATATTTTAGTCACCGAACATCTTTAGTGATAGAAAGATAATACTTTAAAATTCATGTGAAATATTGCAAAAATCATGTTGTATATATTTTTTTCTTGATTTTTGCTCCTTTATTTAATTTTTTATTTAATATTTTCCCCTGACTTAAATTTGGGCTACTAATTTTGGACCGTTATCCTACGTTATTGTGTTACCTTAGCTCCAGATTTAGCTTCAGTACTGAATAATATAATGTATATGCTCAAATATAATATTGCTAAGCCTCCTATAGAAAGCATTAGTTTAAATGAGAGATTTGTGAGAGGTGTACTCATATATGCTGAGCACTGTATATGTCTATATACAGGTAAAAGGAATACAGGTAAAAGGAATTTCGTCATCATTTATTAACACTCAAATGGTTG